ATTACACCCAATCCACTATTTTCTAAAAGCTCATGAGTGATTGATAATTAATAATGAATAATAAGTCAAACTCTATGTATTAACATGATACATGAGTGACATGCACAAAACACGATACTCTGAAAATGACTCCCAAACTTTAAGACTCTTGTAGAATAAGTTCTCCTTATTTTTCACACCTTTTATTAGGTTTAGATTTTTCCTTTTAAATACCTCAGTTGTCCATGGGATTGGAATTCTCTGCCCAATTTGTCGTAGATCCACAAGCTGATGGTTGCACCAATATGCAGAAAAATATCCTTGAATCTTGGAACAAAATATCATAAGTTTCCTAAATTATCTCAACATCCAATTTTAGAAACTAATGTACAGTTGGAGATAAAATCAATTGTTCCAAATAAAATCTTCTTGACCTGCACAAATAAGTGAGATGTATCCAAGAGAATCTCACAAAATCAAATCAAATTTGTTAAGAAAGTAACAACAAAATCCGCTATATCAATTGGCAAAGATGTCACAACATCTTGCTTAACATTTAGAGTCAGCAACACCTGTTATGACAATTGTTCAAGATGTCACAACATATTCCTCGAAATCTGGTTTTGATACATGTTTTCCCAAATGAAACATGTTTTACCAAAATTTTTGCCAATCATAAAAATCTCCTCGAATCTTGGAACAAGACATCATAAGTTTCCTAAGTTGTCTCAACATATAATTTTATAAACTAATGTACAGTTGGAGATAAAATTAATTATTCTAAATAAAATCTTCTTAACCTACGCAACTAAGTGAGATGTATCCAAGAGAATCTCACAAAATCAAATCAAATCTTTTAAAAAAGTAACAACTGAATCTGCAATATCAGTTGGAAAAGATGTCACAACATCTTGCTCAACATCTGGAGATAGCAGCACCTGCTATGGCAGTTGTTCAAGATGTCAGTTGTTCAAGATGGCAGTTGTTTTCCAAAATGAAACATGTTTTTACCAAATTTTTTGCCAATCATAAAATCACAGACTTAATAATCTCCCACCTTTGGCAAATTTTTGTTAAAACAACCTTTGCACAATAAAATTGGAGATAAGGAATAAAACCACATATTAATAAAACATAAGCTATATAAAATACATGTAAACTTTGTACAAACTGCAAACAAAAAACATAAGAGATAAATGCAGCTACAGAGATACCCAACCTCGTACATAACTCTTTTCAAAATCCAGAAATCTCCAGAGATCAGATGTCATGACATGTGGTTTGACATCACATCAATACAACCCAAACAACTCCAACACATCACAACAAACTCAGCACCATAGCACAATGCTTAACAACTTCAGATATGTCAATTATTCCCCCTATCACACATAATCAATACCCTCTCAAGGGAACATCCAAACATGAAAACATAGAACGTCCAAGTTTACACATCAGAGGTACATGCAACAGAAGAAAAATAAGCCTCACAAACAAAAACTGAGAGAACTTGAGTAACCAGAATTCTCCATAAAATACTTCAGGTAATATGTTAAGACATCTGGTATGACATCATGCACACACACATCAGCACTAGCAGCAGAAGCAAATTGCCTTAAGCACCAACAATAAGCATGATAAACACTCATGCTCCCTTTAAGTAGTTGTATATATAGAAAGCAACCAAAGACTACTCTCTCTTAAGCAGTAGTACAATCCTATCAAAATGTTAATCAACATATCAAGACATTTGACATGACATCAACATCAGGATAAATAAACTTCTAAGCTAACACACTAACACTTTACTCCCCATTTTTAGCCAAAAATTTGACAAAAACTAGAGCAAATATACAATAAAATTGGGAGCGGGAAAGCAAAAAGGCATAATCAACAGATGGAAGCACAAAATAGCATTTGAAACAAAAAATGGAATCACAAATCTTAATTGGAAACAAACAATCATTCATGGAAACACACACTCATCACAATATTCAGGTGGAAACATAAAATCACACGGAACCACATATTTCTTGATCATCTTCAGGTGGTTTTCCACCATTTACCCCTATCAAAAATCCTTCTGCACTTCTTGCTACTATCACATGTCTTAGGAGTGTTAACACTGAACTCCCTTGCCACCACCTTAGAACATGTCTGTTTTAAATCATCCATTTTATTTTGCAGAGATCTTTTGTTCTATCCTTTGACAGGTTTAACAATAACAATTAACTTTTGCATATCATGCATGAGAAAATAAAGGAAAGATACAATATCTATTGCATTCCTCCACACATGTAATTGTTATAAGTCCTTAATAGTGTAAGTTCCTAGCCCACTGCTTATGTTCTCACATCGATTTGCATATAAGGCTTTATTAAACATAATAGTCAGTTGTTCCTTAGTGTCTACATGATCCAGAGTAACAACATTTCCTTCAACAAGATTCCTGATGAGATGATTATGATTATCAAATTTCATGTTCCAACTATGTTGAATAAATATTTGATCTTATTCATATCTTCATAATATAATGTCATGACATCCTTCTTGATATTATATTCTTTCAGCATCAGTTTCATCCACACTAGTTGAGAGTAACTTCTTCTTGTTTCAGCTTTAGCTTTAGTAATACACCAAGAAGCACATATTTGATTCTTATTGAAACATGAAATTAGAATGTTTCTCAAAGAGAAACATCCATCAACACCACTAAGCCACTTTTTATTGCAAAAAATTTTCAACATGAAATTTGTGCTGTGAGAATAAGGCACACCATAAAAACTTGTGCCAATGATAGATTTCAAGATCCTCTTTTAATGAATGATATGGCTCATCCTTGGTTCAATTTTAAAGACAAGACATGAATTTGATATTTCCTTATTGAATTAAGTGATGTCTCATTCATTAAGGTGTCTTGTAATGAGTTTCTTGGATTGTTCTGTCTGAACTCTAATAGAGAGACCGTAAGTGACTTGAGTGTTATCTGATTCAATACTTGTAAACTTACAAATAACTTATCTTCCTGACTCATCAGTTTGCATAGACGATGTTCCATCTCTTCCTGACTTCATCTTATTTGTGATCATAATCACTCTAGAGATGTAATCAGATACCTTCTCATTGTTCTTTATGTTGATATTTTCATCTGCTTACAAAGACTCTAAAGCTTCACCTTATTCACTAATGCATCACCGTTATAGCACTGTACCAGTGTGTTCCACGCAACCTTCATCGTCATTGAATCAATGATCTTCTCAAACACATTCATATCCACACAATGATGGATATAGAACAACGCCTTTTGATCATTCTTCCTCGTTTCTCTTTGCGCGTTTCTATGCGCTTCAATTGCATCTGCTACAACCCACGTGTAACTTTCACTGACAAGATCAACAATATCTTGAGCACCAAATAACAGATGTATCTGAATCATCCACCGATTCCAGTTCTTTCCATCAAATACTGGAAGCTTTGTGTTCAAGTTACCGTTTCTTCCACTCATCTTTGTTCTTGTGTAAATTCACTCAAATATCACAAAGACTCGTGTTTCTCAACCACATAGAATCAAGAAATGTGATTCTGTTCCAGTTCTGGTCTTCAATTCATTGTGGATTGAATAAGTAGAAATCAATCACACACGCATCATGTACACTCGCGTTTCTCTGTGAATCTAATCGGAATTATTGGTGCACAAGGTTGAAGATAAAGATAAAGATGAAAAAAGTGAGAGAAAATATATTTGTAACTAACTTTCAAAGAAGAAGGAGATTCAGTTACACTCTCTCAAAATGAGAAAACAATTAGAACAAACTGAACAAGCTTTAGTTTATACACTACATCCTAAAATACAAACTACACTTAATGCAAATGAAATGCTAACTAAGTGTGTTGAATTTGAATTACACTTCAACACCACTAACATATCTAGACCTTTTTGAGTCACCTAGCAGGCTTGTGCTCCATACTTCCTCTGTAATAAATTATAAGCAAATTTTGCTTTTTAGATTCATTGAATAATTGATGTATTATATATATATATATACATTAATTATTCAATAAATCTAAAAAGTAAAATTTACTTATAATTTATTACACAGAAGTACTTGTTTAGAGTTCAACGCCATATTTAAAAAAAGTTGGTGGGATCTATCCCCAAAAAAATGTTTGTAATATAGAAAATTCAGAATGTACATAGTCTCCCAAGCATGAGACTCGTAGGAGCAAGATAGTTCAGATAAAGGTTATGGTCTTATCTAAAAATTCAAAGCATACAATTATAAATTATCATCTGATGTTTGTTTATTAATTTTATACTCTTTTGTAACAAATAATAAGTAAATTTTACCTTTTAAATTTATTAAATAATTAATATATTTGATCTATATATTAATCCGATACATTAATTATTCAATTTATCTAAAAAATAAAATTTACTTATAATTTATTACGGAGGGAGTATACGAATATGTCTCCCCTAATCTATCTAAATTTAAAAGTTTAAAAAATTACTAATTAACCATGGGTGAAAAGGGATAACATTTCTTACTATTGTAAGAAACATTATTACATTTTTATTTACTATATATCAATGAATCCAAAATGACAAGTTGTTTTAATGTCCCTTTATAAAATTGTTAAGTCCGTTTGATTGCTACACACACAATAAAGGATAAACATAAATCCAAAAAATAATTGTTCATAGCCAGCCTTTCTTTTTATTGATATAATAATTTACTATACATGATCACATATATGCATGGATAACACAATCAAAATGATGTAGAAACCAAGAATCCATTTTTTTCAATCTTTTCAATAAAAACAACCTAGATAATCTTTTTTCAAGAAAACAACATTGGATTAGCTTTGGAACAATCTCCTTAAAAAAATCACCAACCGGCCATAGAATGTTCTTATATACATCCTCAGCACACCATCCCCTCAGTTTAGGAGCCATTCAGAACATGCTATGTTAATCTGAGTTCTCAGAAACATTTTATCAACACTTAACTTGCACAATGAACACAAAACATACCAAAGGTCATGAAACTGTGATTGACATAAAGCATAAGCCTGTGAGTTTCACTGGTGGACTTGAGTTTGAGTCTCTTACTTATACGGTCGTAAAGAAGAAGAGAATTGATGGAAAGTTTTCGAACGAAGATGTGGATTTGTTGCATGATATAACTGGTTATGCACCAAAGGGTTGTATCACTGCTGTAATGGGACCAAGTGGTGCTGGAAAATCAACCTTGTTGGATGGACTTGCTGGTAGGATTGCAAGTGGGAGTCTTAAAGGGAAAGTTTCATTGGATGGGAATAGTGTGAATGCGAGTTTGATTAAGAGAACTTCTGCTTATATTATGCAAGAAGATAGGCTTTTTCCTATGCTTACTGTCTATGAAACTTTGATGTTTGCTGCTGATTTCAGATTGGGGCCATTGTCAGTTGCTGATAAGAGGCAGAGAGTTGAGAAGCTTATTGAACAACTTGGCTTATCAGTAAGTGCTTTTTCATTTTTCGAACTTCAAGTAAGCAATTTCATCACTAATCTTTCCTTTTTTGTTTTCTTGATTGTGATTTTTGTGTTGTACATGCAGTCATCTAGGAACACCTACATAGGAGATGAAGGAACAAGAGGAGTCTCAGGCGGAGAGCGTCGCAGAGTCTCAATAGGGGTAGACATAATCCACGGACCTTCACTCCTTTTCCTAGATGAACCAACTTCAGGACTAGACTCAACAAGTGCTCTCAGTGTGATTGAAAAAGTACATGACATAGCAAGAAATGGCAGCACAGTTATTCTCACAATCCACCAACCTTCATCAAGAATCCAATCACTCCTTGACCATCTCATCATCCTTGCAAGAGGACAACTCATGTTTCAAGGATCATTCAAAGATGTAACTCTCCATTTGAACCGAATGGGCCGAAAAGTTCCCAAAGGAGAGAATCCAATTGAGAATCTCATTGATGTGATACAAGAGTATGATCAGTGTGATGTTGTTGGTGTTGAGGTGCTAGCTGAGTTTGCACGTACCGGAATGAAACCACCCCTTTTAAGTGATATGGAGGAAATAATTTCAATCACTAACTCTGTCGCGCCTTCGCCTTCTGTGCATAGAGGCTCTAGAAATGATGAAAAATCTCAAGACTTCTCTTATTCATCACAAATTAGTAGAAGGAGTTTGAATGATGAGTTTGATCATAGTCTTAGAAGTCCTTATAATAACACACCTATGTCTTGGAGTGCAAGTAATAGTGCAGCTTTCTTCAAATTCACACCCTCAAGACTTAAAAATGAGAACAAGGTTCAGAAGCCTTCAAGGTAAAAGCATATATTCAATACTACTAATATATATGAGAATGAAAAATGCTAACAACACTCTCTTTTCAACTCATGATTGAGTGATAAATTGATATATGAAATCAAAATTAAAGCTAAACTTGTAATAAGTAATAGAGTTTAATGGATATGCACAGTTTTACACTGTCGTCCAATAGAAATTCATCACTCAATCATGTCATACTATTAACTTAAAATATCTGAATGATTTGGTGAATGACACTGCATCTCGTATTTTCTCTAAATAATAATCTATTGTTTTTTGTGTGATGTGCAGCCATGCTTCCCCTTCCCAGGGCTACTACACATACTCAAGTGAAATCCTTCCAGCTACTCCAACACCACATAGCAGTGACTACACAGTGAATGAAAATGACTACCTCACACCGACAAATGGCTCGCCAGAACATCTAGGCCCAAAGTTTGCAAATTCCTACATAGGAGAGACATGGATCCTAATGCGCCGCAACTTCATAAACATTCGGCGCACCCCTGAGCTTTTCCTATCAAGACTAATGGTCCTCACCTTCATGGGATTCATGATGGCCACAATGTTCCACAATCCAAAAGAAACCTTACAAGGAATCACAAACCGTCTCAGTTTCTTCATCTTCACAGTTTGTCTCTTTTTCTTCTCTTCCAACGACGCCGTCCCAGCATTCATCCAAGAGAGGTTCATTTTCATCCGTGAAACTTCGCACAATGCCTATAGAGCTTCTTCCTACACCATAGCTAGCTTAATCACTCACATGCCGTTTCTTGCGCTCCAAGCTTTAGCTTACGCAGGCATTGTTTGGTTTGCTTTACAACTCAGAGGCCCTTTTATATACTTCTTCCTCGTTCTCTTCATTTCTCTCCTTTCAACAAACTCATTTGTCGTGTTTGTGAGTTCGGTTGTTCCAAACTATATCTTGGGCTATGCTGCAGTCATTGCCTTCACCGCATTATTCTTCTTGTTCTGTGGATATTTCTTGAGCAGCGAGGATATTCCACTTTATTGGCGTTGGATGAACAAGATTTCGACTATGACGTACCCTTACGAAGGACTCTTGATGAATCAATATCAAACTAATGATACTTTTGGAACAAATGATGGAGTACCTGTTACTGGTTTTGATATATTGAATAGTCTTCATATTGGTACTGAAGAGTTTAAGAAGAGGAATAATGTGCTTATAATGTTAGGTTGGGCTGTGTTATATAGGATTTTATTTTACATTATTCTTCGTTTTGCATCGAAAAATCAAAGGTCCTAGTGTGTGAGAAAGTTAACCATTTATTGTTGTTTTGTATATTTCAAACATATTGTTTGGATATCTGTTGCTTTGGTGTATTGTATTTGAAAAATTGAATTTGTTTTGTTTACTGCAAACATATGGTATTGTACCTCACAATAAATCAAATCATGGGGACTATAGAGGAAGTTTGTTTGACAAATGACATTCTTTGGGAACTTACTCGGTGTACGAATTGTGGCTTGCTTACAACAGCAACATATCAAACTTTTTAAATGGAGTGAAGCTTGACTTTAAAGAATTTGATGGAAGGAATCGATTTTTCCTTGTGAAAATATAAGTCAAAGAAGTGTCGGTATAATTAGGATTACAAAAGACGTCGAAAAGAAACATTTTCAATATGGACAATGAAAAATAGAAGAGATTAGATTTAAGAGATTCAAATGTTGAAGCAAAAATGATTTGATGAATAATAACATTTAAATTTGGAATCGGAAAAAATATATTATTAAATATCTTAATGTTGTGAAAACACTATTTTTGAAATAAAATATAAATTGTTTCTTTATGATCAAGAAACAAATAGTGTAGAAAAGATGAAAATACGAAGAACAATAAGAAATTGGTTATTAATTGCTATTTTTTACTTTCTCTTTAAACAAGATTACAAGTACACAAGAATAACAAATAACCCTCTCACCCTAAATTAGGATTTACATTATGCAATGATGAGAGACTAGTATGTTATTTATAATAAACCTAACATACTAAGCTAATGGGCTTTTTGACAAATACCCATTACAAGCTAACTTAGAGTACAAGCTAACTTAAACAATTGGACATAACAAACAGGCCCAATTCGAAATACTAACAACCCTAGCATTTCGACACCCACATAATAGAACACATTTCGACTACAGTATGTAGGTCTTCGACACCAGCATGTGAACATACTTCGACGGCATGCATAAATCCTGTCAAACCAGAAGCTACTCTTCAACCCAATAGAGTTTGATACAATATCTCACAAATCTCCACCTTGTAACAAACTCTAATATCAAAGAATAAACTAGTTTTTTTCATGCAGCTTTATCAACTGCATCCAGTGGAAAAACTTACAACTGGGCAATATCTTGGTGATCATCTCAGCAGCATTGAGATCTGTCAAAACCTTCAGCACTTGGAATTCTCCACGCTCGATTATCCCCCTGCCAAAATGCAACCTCACATTAGTGTGCTTGGTTCGCTCATGATAGGCTGAATTTTTCGACAGTTGTATTGCACTTTGACTATCACATTTAACAGTGATAACTCGACCTTGAAGTTTCAGCTCCTTAGCAAAACCTTCTAGCCACAATGCTTCTTTTATAACTTCAGTTAAGACAATATATTCTGCTTCAGTGGTTGATAATGCGACAACCTTTTGAAGTGTTGCTTTCCAATTAATTGTTGTACCAAACATAGTGAAAACATATCCATAAATAGATTTTCTGGAATCTATACAACCTGCATAATCAGAGTCGACATACCATTCGATTACTGCTTTACTATCTTCACCCAAGGCTCCACCATAAATTAATACTTTGTTCAGAGACCTATTTATGTATCTTAGAATCAACTTAAACGCTTGTTAGTGAGCCTTTCTAGGATTCACTATGTGTGATACGATGGAAGAACTGACTTGGGTGTTTTACGTTTTATCGCAATTGTTGCGGATAGCAAGAGTCACCACCGACTTTTCTTTTATCCAATAAGGAAAGGGTGAAAAGAACAGGAAAGAACTTTGAGATATTTTCTTGAGTTCAGGAGGTAGGTTATGAAAAGGGAAGGTGTTAGCACCCTTTTCATCCGTAGTTATCTACGGGATCTTAGTTGCTAGCCCACTTTTGAAATGCTTTATTTGAAATGTGTTTGTGATGGGTTTTTGAAAGTATTTTTGAAAGTTCCTTTGCTTAGGCGAACTTTGTAATGATTCTCGTCTCTATAAGAATGCATACAAAGTGTTGACTTTTGAAAATATTTCATTTGAAAATGTTAGTGTGTTTGAAAGATGTTTTGAAGATGGATTGTGAGCAAGCAACTAAGAACGTTCTACCTACTCAAAAGTATTTTGTTCATTTCTCTCTTCTTTTGACATTGCTATCTTACCATTGGTTGGTAAGAAGCCCTATCATTGGATGTGACGGGATAGGCGTGGGTCGTCATACAGTCGTAGAAGGCAACATTGTAGGATACCTTAGCAATTGGTCGTAAGGGTCTAAGATCATTTAACGAATGCAACATCTAAGGGTCATCGAGGGACTACAATCTTGTATTTGAGGGTCATTGCTAAAGTATCCCACGTTCGAGGGGCATGACCGTTTATTCGTAGGCAACAAGTGTGGGTTACCCTGGAGGTGCGTGTGTGAATTGTATTTTGATTGTATGCATTTTTGTCTTGAGATTAGGGTTCTCTAAGATTGATTTTATCTTCCCATACACACCCTAATTACTAGCATTTTATTCAAAAGCGATAAATTGCAGAAATTTAAAGTCCTATGCTATTACAATACTTTTAGGGGACGAGGGTACACGTTTAATGAATGGAGATGAAAGCGATAAAATCCTAATTACTATTACAAACCATTAATGATCCAAAAACATCAACAAAAAGTCTTAAAAATCAAGATTTCTGGTGCCTGGCTAACACGGGCCGTGTCTTGGGACACAGACACCCGTGTCAGGACCTTATAATAATAATCATGCATGTCTTTTTTCTAGTCCCAGCTGAGCTGACACGGGCCGTGTCCTGTGACACGGGCACCCGTGTCAGGACCCTGTCCTGCCACTTTGCCAAGTTTTAATTCCAATAAGAGGGACATGGGCCGTGTTCTATGACACGGACACCCGTGTCAGAACCCTGTCTTGCCATTTTTCCTGTTTTCTTCCTGACACAGTGTTGTACCCCAAAATTTTCCCTCTCATTTCTCAAAGGATCACTGAATCCTCAAGTTTTCTTCCATCCAATTCCAAGCCTCGAATTACATATTTTTCAAGAAAGTCATTCACAAGGGTAAAATGGTCATTTGTGCATTAAAAAGTCAAACTTTGACTTTTGATCAAAATCAAGTTTCAAGAGTCATATTTCATCAAGACATGTTTGAGATATGAAGTTTGTTTCATCTAGAAATTCAAAAATCAAAAGTTACTTTGAAAAAGTCAAATTTCTAAATATTTAGAATTTTTTTGAGTGTTTAAGAAATATGACAGGCTCAGAACTTTTGATCAGATTTTCACCATGATGCAAGCTGATTCTGGAAGAACTTCTGATACAATAGTTATAGATTTCAATGATATCTAAAACATTGCAGAATAGAACTTCTCATAGAAATGCTGGGATTTCAAGTTATAACTCCTCAAAGACACATCCATGAAACTAAAGCACTCAGCAAATTCTGGACACTTTCAAAACAGATTTTGATCAGAACTTCTGGGCCAGTTTTCACAAAGGTTCAGTCATAGTTTGCAAGGGTAATTCAAAGAAGGTTACAAAGCGTGCTGCAAGCTTCCTGGAAAGTCTGAGAGCTCCTTCAGAATATGCTGGAGCAAAGAGATACAAAGATCAGAAGTTGGATGTCTATTCTAAGTCACGTTGAAGCTGAACTTCTGATCCAGAACTAAGCAATGATGCAGAATATCACGTTGCAGGATTTCTGGTTTGATCAATATCATCATCATTTAATGCTCACAACCACTTATGGGTCTTTGTTCAAAGGATTTCTCCACGTGTGGCATAGAAATACCTTTACTGTCTTGGAAAAGCAAACTCTTGTACAAAAGTGTTCTGGGCCCATGCGTTGCTTTTACTTTTGAAGTTACCTTTCCTTAATTCCTGCTTACAATTCCAGATTAGGCGCTGCTAAGGCTATTAACCACCATACTTGCTTCAACAGCAAGGCAGCATCCTAGCATGTGATGGTTGCACTCTCCAAGCTACAAGATCTTTGCCTATAAATTGAAAGCCATTGGCAACTGAAAAAGGGTCGGAAATTTGAGAAAGAATAGCCCGAACCCCTGCTAAAATTCCAAGAGTCCAAAAAACTACAAACACAAAACACAAAACCTGTTAGCTTTTGATTCTTGCATTCAAATTCCATTTTTCCTCAAGTGTTTATCGACCAAAACCACCCATACAGTTTTTGATATACATTCAAAAGTCATCCTAACTTCTGTAGTCAAACTGTGACACACTAACCATCAATATCCACCTCAAAGAAGTCAGAACTTTGCTCCTTGACTGTTCCAGAATTTTCTAATCACTCACAACCCAAGTTGAAAGTTTCCAGCCTACTGAATACGAGAGGAAGTTGTTCAGAACATCACAAGCGGTCAGAGCCAGACTCCATCTCACAAAATATTTTCCAGCTGCAAGGTAAGATTCTACTGACTCTCATGACATTACTTAGGCATTGTCAGGAAACTTTGTTCAAAAATACAATGTAGACATCCTGATTCTGATGTTGTACACATTCTGAGGTTTCATATATTTGCCTGCCTAAGTAGAGAGAATTTCAGTTCAAAACTTCTTGAAGAAATTAGAACTCAGAATTAAGATTAGTAAATTCATGCTTGCTTCTGATTTATAGTTCTGATATCTCTTGTTTCTGAAACCTTATGGAACCTGTCATAACTGTTATATGCGCATCTTCGGTTTTGTTGAAAAATGACCAAGTTGTAGATGTTCTGACTAGCATGGAGAGGGAGACTAAGTCCTACCAGTGGTATCAGAACTTCTGAAATCTTCTTTGTTCTCAGCGGACCCAGAACTTATGACCTTCCTTGTTTCTACTAATGTTTATTTGAATTTGTGCAGCACGCCAGAGTTAGAACTTCTGACCTCTTTTATTTCAGCAAAGCGCTGATTCTGTTTTCCTTTCTCCTTATTATTTTTTCCATCATTTTTTTTATTAATCAAAAACACATAAAAAATATTATTTTATATTCACATATCTTATTTTATTTCTTTTAACATAAAAGATCAA